GGGCGGGGTCGCTTTCTCTTTTTGGACTTTTTACCTTTTTTCACCTGATATACGCATCTTTCCATACGATCGTTGTCTCCATTCTCCGCGTTGAAACGCTTCACCGCTTCTTCAGTGCGGATATACACCGTGACCAACCCGCAGGCGCACTTGAGTTCCGATGCGTCTCTTCTTCCCGCCACAACCTACCCTCGCCGGTCCAGTATGCGTTGTTCCGTGACATTCTCGTTTTGTTTTGTTTGGTTGACGCCGGGCGAAAGTTTGTTCACAAACCTAGCATTCGTGTGAAGCCTGTCTTTGGGTTTTTTGAGGCTGAATTCTTTGTGTGTTAATTTTGTACGGGCTTGTGATGATCACAGCGACACACACATGACAGGGATAATGTTAAATAGTTCTCCAGCGGAGAGCCCTTCAAATCATGAGTTTTCCACTCCGATTAGAACACTGTCAGTTTGTGACGTAGAACGAAGAAAGCATAACTCAATTGCGCATACTGAAAATATTACTAAATGCTATAATACGTGGTGTTTCCCTTTCGATCAGCCACCTTACTCGATTTTCATGGAATTCGCAGTTGTTCATATAATGCCACAAACTGCATACATTCGCCCCTGGGTGCCAGTGTTTTCAGTTCTCAAATAAATCTGTAACTAACTATAAACAATGATTTTCAAGGGCGCGATCCGGCCATTCAAAGGAGAATTCACGATTAAACGAACGTCGACGAAAGGGAAAACTGAATCCTAGTTGAGCACTCACAACCTCCGAGGGTGCGAACTGTACCGCTATATTGCCCATGCGAAAATTTGAACCCCGATGTATCAGCCTCAAAGGTGAGGATCGGCTGTCTCCGCCCATCCGATCATCTGATCACTCGCCGTAGTTCAATCACGTGGCGAGTGATTAATAGTGAGAGAAGCTTACTGTTAGAAGAGGCACAGCATGAGAGCCGCATCAATGCTCGATTCAATCGCGGCCAAGAAGGAGCGTCCCATTCTTTCTGGCCTTCCATGGCTTCTTCCTTCTTTCTGTACCACTCACCATCCCTTAGCTCATTCGAAATGGTTTTTCATCGTTGAATTTCGTCCTTTCAAAGCGCAGTTCTGCCTACAAGGAGATAGTTCAGTGTGCCAAGCTTTTTCAATAACGTCTGTTCATAGTATTAGGTACATGCGACCACATGAACCATAGTGATTTTTGTCCTAAACTACTCTCGAACGCCAGCGATAGGGGTTCCCTAGTCACACCTTTTTCGCCACTCTCAAATAAAGTCTCATCTCGTAAGATTAATGACTGGTCCTAGCCATGGAAATATGTACTATCATCTCAGCTAACCCATTTTTCGGCAATTGGAACGTCAACGCGAAAATGCAAAATTTATCATCATTAGGAATTGCAACTATGACCCCTTCCTCGTATTCCAGAGAGCCGTTCAGGAAAAAAAATACCATGCTAGTTCGTGGTCCTCATATGTTGCCCAATGGTCATGCAAGAAACCATTTCGAAAAAGCTTGCTCACCTAAAGCGACCTTCCTTGCTGAGTTCCTCGAAATTCTGTTTTGAAAAATGGAAAAAAAAAAAGTAATAATAGTTAAGCAACTCCTCACCCTGGAAATGAGACACTGATACCAACAGCGGTAAAATTTTCTTCTGGCAGCTAGATAGCAGTCAAAGAATTACCTCACATAAGAAGTGTGACTTACGTCTTATCGAAAATTGAAAGGTGATCAATTCCATATTGATATAAAATAGATATACTTAGCTTCGGAATTCAGTCATGCTTAAATTTTGCATGTAACAGTGCTATGTATTCGTTATGAACTGCACATATGGCTGCTGAATTTAAGCTGTGTTCACAGATCAAGATCCCAGCGCCACCCTGAGGGGTCGTTAATTTGATGAGACCCCATAAAGCCAGAAAGAGACTGCCAAATGGCTACCAGAACCCATAAATCGTTCCACGACAACTGGAAGGTTAAGGGGAACAGTTGAGAAATCGCTTTTAAAAGTGGATATGTATACAATCAACTCCTATCAATGAAACTCTGGAAAGGACTTATAATGAATAATATAAAACAGATGCATAACTTAATGAACCGAGAAAGCATTTACGCTCGTCTACAGAAATAATTTTGTGACACAGTGTACAACATCTCGAAGATTTTACACACTAGGTATCACTGAGATACCACCAAACCACTACGGCTGCAGAGGGTCAAGAGAGTAGCTGAGCAAGGCCGCTGGCAAACGGAAAAGTGGAACGTTGTCACTCTAGTGAACAGGATTTATCCACAGTGGTAAGTTAGAAATTCACGTCGCTAAAGGAAGCGGTTACGATAAATTCAAGAAGGGTTCAGTATGACGTGATGGTGTTCAATGATACCCCCAGCAGCGAAAAAAAAGCAGAAATCCGTCAAGAAAACACAAAACGGGACCCTCTCTTTCGACCATTGGTTTCAACTCGTGAACAGGTAACAGCTAAGAAAGAGAAGTATGAACGACTTCACCGCAACGAATTTGATGGAACCATTCCAAAGTACGTTTTAATCGAGATACTCTATTTGCGCCGCTGCTGGTCACGCAGCTCATCCAAGTCAACAAGTAAACTTGTGGGCGTAACGCTGCTTGGTGCGGAGCGCTGCGGAGGTCCTGCTCAGCAACCACGGCACTTTCGCTGTGTAAGCGCCACACATTGCTCCCTTGGCAGCCAAGTAATTGCTCCGTTTGGCAAAAGTTTTCCCCCGATGCGAAAATTTCTTATCGTAACCGCTTCCTTCAACCCTACGAACAACTTGTTATGAAACAGAAGGAAACGGCCATTGAAAGCAATGCTATATTTAGGCTGACAATTACATACCATACGCTTTGTCTACCTAGTACATATGGGTAATGGCCCTGAAAGTTCGTAGACTGATTACACCGATCACCCCGTTAATTTGATAATGAGATTCTGCGCAACAATTTCGAACATCTCCACATTAGGTTGCCTCATATACCGACGTTGAGTTTCACCGCTTACAACTCGCTTGAGAGATTTTAAAATTTACCTCATACTTTTAACCAGCGTTCCAGGCTACCAGCTTACCTGATCTCCATTCAAGGTCCATACAGGAAGTTAAACCGTTCTTCGTTCTACTGAGGAATCGGGTCGAACCTGGCACCACAGGGACTTTCCGGAATTCGCCACATATATTCACCAGCTTGACTCACCATCAGTTCAGACTTCATCTAACTACTTACCATGAAGCGCTTCGTACTCTATACGGTGTGTTGGGGAAGACAGTCTGAATTAAGTACTATCGATAAATTCTTCATGAACGCCTAAAACGAACTCGGCGCCATGTATCTGCACAAAACAGAAAATATGTATGTCCCCTGGAGGACTTCGCTTATTTATCAACGAATACGCAGGTCTGCAGACCAGTAATTTTTCTGATGACCTTGCGTGAATATAACCTTGATGGTAATTTTGCCTTATTAGATACATTGGCTTTCACGACCACATCATCACCGCAAAGGAACCTACTGTCCTATACATATAGCGCTGTCTATGTAGGCATGAATACGGATTTGACGTGGCGGCCACCGTACTTGATGGATGTCGCGTGCGGCAGGATGTCTCCGAACAGGGTGAAGATCGTGTCGAGGAAATGTTCGCGACATTACGCTCCCTCCACCCCCCCCCCCTCCCCCCACCTTTACGTGGTTCTTGTAAAACCCCTTCTATCCTGCGCACATCCGGTTTTATAGCAAAAACTGTTGGTCCTACCATTAGATGCACGAGATTGAAGCAGCGCAGATGCCACGCGAACGCTCCGCGACTCAAATCTTAAACCTAAGTTTTAGTTGGCTTTGATTGGCTCCTGTTATACCCTTACAGGCTTATTCAGTCTGTGCCACTTTGGCCTAGGAGAGAAGTTGTCAAATACGGCCCAGACACTCGCAGTGTTAAGTAAACGCACACAGAAGTTACTCCAATCGTGCCTGGATGCGAATACGTCGCGCAACGGTGAAAAGAGCTTGATCAACTTGAATTTCATTCTAATGAAGTTTAAGGAATGATTTCACACCGCAAAATGGAAAACTTCGGAATTAACTGGAACATTCTTCAAAGACGCTGAGTGCCGGTCACAACATTACGACAGCCCGTTTACAGGCGATTCGCGGCTATGGTCGTGTTTTGCCCCTACCTCAGCATTCCTACGATGAGTTTCACATTTCGTACTGCGTACAAGTTAAAAACAAGGTAAAGAATGGATTCTCCCAAACTTCTGATTTGACAACGAACAAAAGTGAAATTGAATCGAGAAAACAAAAGAGGAACAAGGAGTAAACTCCCACTAGAAAAGTTGAGGACGTGGAAACGTGGAGTAAGTACGGCCTAGAGGCAAACATTCTCACGCTCCATTCCAGTAGCATTAACTGTTCACGGTCGCGTGCGTGGTTAAAGTGGATAAATTGCCAAATGTACCGGAGAGGAGTGGCATCTGTGTCCGTTGTTGATCCTTCCGGTTATGACGCTCTCACATCCCATAGAAGCAAATACGACCCCCTATCGAATTCCTCGACCGTTGCTCACCATGCATCCAACAAATCAGCAGAGCATGCTAGAAATGCTGAACTAGACCAAACCAGCGAAGCTTTGGATTTGGCCTAATTCTATCAAGTGCGGCGGCCGCCACGTCAAGTCTATCCACATGCCTGCTCGTACGGCGAGATATGGACTGAACGATGTCGTAAGGGTAAAAATAGTATCGCTTGAGTTGTCCACTACCTCATAATTCGTATTCCTTTCGAAGAAAGTATCCTTCTTATGGAGTATTCTGACCATAAGCTTCCCTCAGACTTTATAACAATGATAGAAATCAATATGAGTGCGCTTAAACATCTATTATCACTTATCTCCATTTCAAAACACAAATGGAGCAGCCATATCATAGAGACACTCTTATTTAAGGGAACTGTAGAAGGTGAGGTTCATTTCTACTAACACTTGCGGGATGGGCGATGGCGGAAGTCCTGAACACACGCAAGGCTCAACGGAGGCTGTAGATCGCAGAAATACTTCCGTAAGCCCACGCAAATTCTGCAACTTTCCACCTATTCTGCCTCGGGAACGTACAATTGTTGATTATAGAAGGAACTGTGGCTTCCGTCGAGCTCCGGTGTGGGCACGGCACCAACGTTCAGAAAGGAAGAGCACAAGAAGAGGGAAGGGTGCGACATGCTTCTACGTACTAACAGTATTGCTCGTCAATAGAAAAAGCTGATTTTTCAAACATTCGAAAAACTGGTCGTTTAGGTTCGTCTGTTTTATGGTGACAATCCATTCGGTGAAAGGGGTGCGATTTGGACTCGGTATTAAGCATTTCAACGATCAAGTCATTGTCAGCAAATCAGAAAAAGGTGAGCTCCTTCAATACGCAGAAAGCGCAAGTAGGTTATTTGATACAGCACACGAGAGTACGTGAAAACTAGTGGAAAGTTGCGAGATAAGAAAACTAAATGGTTCCGAAATTCGAAACACTAATTGGTGATCGGTGACAGGGTTGGCTCTGCCAACAGTAACGCTTTATGATCTCCAACGAATGTTGAAAAGTGTAAGCACAGATCGGGGAACAGCATATCTTACCGCAGGCCTTCCTTGGAGGATGGATTACATCTACTAGCGCAAGCAGCAGCCGAGAGCCAAAGAGAGCGAAATGTGGCCTGCGGCCAAAGGTGCCCTGGTTGCAGCGCACTAAGGCTGGTGTCCGAGTCCGCGATCCGCCGCAGGTTTTGCGCGATCCGCGCGACAGGTCACAGAAATCACAAGTGCCCGACCAAGACTGCGAGGTGCCCTCCAATCCCGCCGCCACTTCTGCTTGATGGTGATGGGTCAACGGCGACTGCTCATGATTCCACTCGTTTCATATTCAGTGTTTCGAATCTTCAAATGGGGCACTTGCAATAACTTCAGACGGATCGCGGACTCTGACACCAGCCTGAGATTACAAATCCTTACAGTGCTCCGTTCCGCTTTGCTCCGTTCACAAGTGTGCTGCCAGTAGCAGCATCGTTTGTTTATCATTTCGAGAGAGTATTCCACGCGAGTGGTACACTACAAATTTTCTATGGAATACGTTATATCATGCAAAGTATGCAGTTCGTTGGCTACCTAGTGTGCAAGCGAGTCCTTGGTTTCTGGCTCGTCCATTGGCGAAGGTACGGTTGAACAAATGGGTCCTATTTAGCATGATGTGTGGGTGTTATCACAATTATCCTATTACAAAATATTGATAGCTCAAGCCGTGCTACTCAATTCTGTTTGCGGTTGTTTATTTCATTAGCTGCTTTATCACTAACTTCCGACAGATGTACCGACAGATGTACACATATGCAGACATACGGTCTCAGGGCATCTGTCAACCGCAAGCCTTGGCGGTTCAGCATTTTTTGGTGATGTCTGGGAACTCTCACAAGTGCACACTATCACAGCATCTCCCCTTTCTTTATGTTCTTCAAAAGGCTTAGTCCCGATAAAACACAAAGTGTGGGCTTTTCCAGCTACGCTCTTACCCTTTGGTTAACGCTGAAACGTCGCTGGTCTACGCGCGCTGAAACGGCAAATTTTCTCCCGCGCCACTCCTCACTCATCTCATGCAACTTCTTACAATCGAAGCAAGTACTACAATCGAAGCAAGTACGACCCCCCCCCCTCTACAAACTCATCAAAATATACGACCCCCCTCTACAAAGTCATCAAAATACGAACCCCCCGTTGCTACTTGTAGCAACATAGGATTGGCCCTGCTTGTAACCGCAGAAATACAGAGGGGCAATAAAAAAAAGACATTTTGTCTACACATTCAGATGATCCACATTGCTCAATTCGAAATAGTCCCAACTTAATATCGGAGGCGCACTTCATTCTATGAAAAAATCTTCATAGTGGCCACCTATGTGGACGGCATCAGAAGAATTGCCCCCGAAAACGTGGTGACTGTTCGAGCTCAATGGGATCCCGAAGGATCGCGTAGCATAATGACCCTTACTGAAAGTGAGTTTCAAGGGGGGTTCGCATAATTGGAGCTAATCTCCCTAAATAACTACCCAACATTGAATCGACTCACGAAATTAAATAACTACCCAACATTGAATCGACTCACGAAATTACGTAGGAGCTTCAGGTTGAAGCACTTAAGCAGGCCTCCTTGGGCTTGACGACGGTGACAGGTGACGTCATATTCTGAAAACGGTGAGGGCAGTGAAGGAGGGCTTGCGTCTACTCAAAAATGGAAATTTAAGGAATACTTTGCTGAGGAACTTCCGTCAACGACGGCACTCTCTGCTAGGAAAGAAGAGCCGAAGTGCGACATGGGCAAAATGCCCTTTCCCCCTCCCCCTTCTGTACATCCAAACCGACACACCAAAATAACGGTTTATAAAATAGGAAGATGCTTCCTTAGAGGAAGTGATTTCTCTAAGGACGCATCTTCCTGGCATCTCGCTGGTCTCGAGTAGAGGGAGAGTCTCACGCGTCATTTCACGGAAGGACTCGAGATATGAGAAGATGAGATATTGTACCAGCGAGTTAGAGCTCGTCAAGGCAATGCCGCTTCACATCTCGTTCCGGCGCCATATCATGCCTTCGATAAGGCGGCAGTGCCGCCGCGGCACTGCCCTTGAAGCGTTGCCTATCGGCACGCCGGGTAGGACTCCTACCCAATCCATGTGTACTTTACCCATTCGTCCCCATAGAATTCATCGTGATCACTTTCTTTAAGGTTCAATCTGTGGATCTCAATTGAAGGTACTGGATCACATTGTTGAAGTTAATGGGATTCCCGTAACAGACAAAGATGTGTGTAGAGAGATGCTTATCAAGTCTATGCAGGTATGCATTCATTGAAATGTAAACTACTCTATACCGCGAATGAGAGAAAATTGTGTAACTCAAGAACAAAGGAATAAAAACTGGTATTGTAATCTCATCTCCACTTCACATTACCATTGGCTAGTAAGCCAAGTGGAATGAAAAAGTGATCCCAATGTAAGTCAGGCGCTAGTGTACTTGGAGGGGGAGGGAAGGGGAAGTGGAACAGACATCGTTATGCGGACGGGACCTGGAAGAGAGGATGAACTTAGGGAAAAACTAAACTGCTTATATGTCTCATTCCGGCTTGAGGAGGGAGAGGGTATGCTGATTGTGTTGGGCTCTCTGCGTAATGATGCCTTTTCCTAAGTACTTCAGCACCACAGTCTGTTCCTATCAAACGACACCTTAGGTTGGCAGAACTGGCACAGGGAGGTCGTTCGCTGAGTACACAACTAGTCATAGAATGATTCTGCCAGCAAAGTATATACTTTCGGGGATTTCCCCAAAATGCTTACAAAATGAACTTCACAACCCCGCTGCTCTACTTTATCGCAATTCACTCTCTTCAAGCCTTCACTATCGTCAGACTTGATTTAATTAATACCTGTAATTCCATGTGAGCCAACTCAGCCGGACCCTGTAGCTATCAAAGGTGCATTTTACAATAAGGCTGGAGCTCGAACAGGGACAAATGTAGATAGTGGAAGGGCAGGCGGCCCCCTAGGGTGGGGGACAACGTGGGTTTTGCAGCAAAGGGTATGCCGCAGCGGCGCGCAGGGCCATACACATCGTTGCCCGCCCAACCCCTTGCCGTCTGACTCTTGTCTTTCTAGGCTAGAGTGTTGGCGTTGAGCAGGTCAGCACCCATGATATACGCCCAACCCGCAAATCAACAGGCAAGAAGAGGTCCAGCTCCTGGGTTCCGGGTCTTTTTTCATCTCATTCTACCGGCGCCATTGACCACCTTTGCCTCAATTTCTCAAAAGTTTCATTGTAAATTTCGCCATTATAAGGAGCTATTACGATAAAGAGAGTGTATTGAGGAAGTGTAAGCGCCATACGAAGCAGTAACTTTGTTGCCTAGGAAGCGAGGCGTGGCGCTTACACAACGACATGTGCTGGTTGCTGAACTGCACTTGGAAAGCGCTCCGAACCAAAAGCTTTCCGCCCACTAGTTCAATTTGTGATTTTGAGGACGAGCTGTATTGCCAGCAGCGGCGGAACTGGAGCAACTCGACTGGGCATGGACTGGCATGGGACCATTATACGCGTTGCGGTGAACTCGTGCATACGTCCAATGTCTGAGCCGTTGCGCGTTCACTAGCAGAACTGACGGCAAAAGATAGTCCCATTCAGCGCTATTCTTTGTTTGATTTCTCCCTTATTGCACTGGCGGACCTTTTGAGCAACTACTTCGTGAAATTTGAAACTATCGACTCGATATTGATGGGAATTAAGTTTGTAAGTTCGCTGGAAGGGTAATGGCCCAGAATAACCAGTGACAACAGAACGATCTCTATTCCGGCCCGAGACAAACAGCGAAGGAGCGAGTCGGTTGTCCTGAACAAAAAGGCAACCCAAAAACGCTCTTTAACGGTGGAAACCAATAAATGAAAGGATAATTACAGGCTTCGAATTCGCTGACAAGACATTACTCGAAATTACGATCAGTACAGGTGTATGCACCAACAGAAGCTGCAGACGAAGAAAGTGAAAAATGATTTTCTACGAGCAACTCAAGAAACATTCGGATGAATTCACCGCGAAGGGATCGGGTTGAAGATATCATTGTGAGTATGCAATGCTCAGCTTGGCAAATGACAGAGCGCAATTGAGAAAACGATTCGACCTTTCACATCGGCTTGAGCTTTCAGTAACAGGCCGAAAGACTATGCTTCCTTTGTGTATTACAATGAACGTCTGCATAGGAAACACATACTTCCAACACAAAGGATACACAAGAAAACTTGGAGGTCACCTGATGGTGTAACTTCAATGAAATCGATCATATTTGCCATCAGTCGCAGATGGAGAACCTCTCTTCAAGACGCTCGCACATCAGAGGACAGACATAGGTTCAATTCACTATTTGATGAAAGCTGTAATCAAGCCTAAAACTGAAACAGCAGACAAAGAAGAAACAGTCAATTCGCCACATTCGCGTGGATAGGTAAGAGATTCCAGCCGTCTGCAGACAGGTTCAAGGTTGAATTACGCAACTCGTTTCGAAACCTTAGAAGTGGAGAATATCTGGCGGAATATTGAGATCGCAGTGGAAAGTTCATGAAAGATAATATCCAAACATGCGCAGAACAAGTGGATTGCGCCGCAACGTGGCAAAAGAAAGGCAACAGTGGATCAAGATCGGCACATGGCCAGAAAATAGATGAACGGAAGCGTTGAAACTCAGAGAGACCAAGCAGAACACAAGAGGAGAAAGAAGAAGGCAAGCCGGAAATATATGGAAAAAAAAGATGTAGATCGTTTTGTCAAGAGTCTTGTCGTCAGTTGATAAAAAAGAGTATCTCATATCAAAAAGAATTGAAGCTCAACAAGCAGCAGATCTGGAGGACACGAAAACCCTTTATCGCATTCGTGGATATGCAGTGACAGGAAGAACAATCCATTAAATGTTCCTATTCGAGATAAAAAATGGAAAACTTCTGCTAAGGGGGATGAACGAACACAGCGATAGTGGCTCGAAGCACTTTCAAAACGTGCTAACCAACCAGATCAACAAGACCTATTGGTTTCGATGAGATAGGATTAGCAGAGAGCTCGACGTGAACACTGGAGACATACACTACTGAAGAAACGGATGAAGCACTCAAAACGCCTCGTAACAAAGAAAGCTCCAGGCCGGGGCATTGAGATTGGCATTCAAAGCAGAGTTATTGAAGGCGGATGCTGCTGAAACATTGATCGACAGCATTAACTAACTTTTAACCGGTGCTGAGAGTTCAAGAGAAGTCCCAGAGGATGCGAGAAAGGAGTCATTGTGAGACTGCCTAAAAAAGGAGATTTGTCGAATGCGGGAATTGGAGAGGCATTCACGTTGCCTTCAGTACCCGGAAAACGTTTTGCTTATACTTCTACGAAGACTTCAAAGCGCCATCGACACGTGTTTACGAGAGAAACAGCAGGATTTGAGTTGGCAAGATCACTGTTGGTGAAATCTTCACTCTCCCTAATATTTCGAAAAACAGTGCAATAGAATTACCATCATCCCTTCTTATCAATTCATTCATTTTCAGAAGCATTTGATAGCATCATCGCTATCACTGGGAAAAGGCTTAGAACTTATTACGGGAACCATCGCGCTTCATCAGCATCTTTAAGAATTATACCTGAAACTCCTCGTGTGCGTAAGAACAAATAATGGCCACACAAACTTCATTTGAAATTCACCACAGGAGTACGACAGGGATGTATTTTGTCTCCAATTGTTGGTTCACTATTATGTCTGGACTTGATCATGCGAATAAGCGATGAACGACAAGAAACAGGATGAGCTGGTCTAACGGAGGAACGTTGTCAGACATTGGATTTTGCGCGTACGACATGGCGCTTCGTGCGCCTTAAGAAGGACGTGAGTTCAAGAAGCAACTACGAGCCTGAACAGTGAAGCAACAATGATCGGCATTGCGCATTAGCGCCGAAAAATCGAAAGGGTCATAAGATTGGCCCCAATGATGTGCAAACGGTCATCAAATGTTGATTGCAAAACAATTGGAGACTGTTCGTGCGAAGAATTCACTTATCTTGAGGAAGGTAGTTGCTTGCTGATGGCAGGATGCAGAAACAGATAGCCACGGATACGAATAGCCGAAAAGCAGCACTTATTCAACGACTTCAGCCAGTAATGGGCAAATGCACTTCCATTTCACACAAAACATCAAGATTACGTCTATACCAATCCAATCAGTTATATTCACCGCCATTGTATGAAAGTGAGACTATGGAAAATAACTGCTGGGGATCGATTAAGAAAATAAATGCGCTTTCATCAGCGTTTGCCTCGCCGAATCAATGGAAAATTACGGTATTACAGCCACATCACTAATCAGGAAGTCCTGAGCCGCACAGGTAGGGAGCAGCCTCACGTGTGAGGTGTTGGCACGCGCAGACTCGACTGGCTGGACATTTTCTAGTAGGCCCTCAATATCGTATTCACGGAAAGGGCCATGTACTGATTCCTCCAGGAGCCAGAAGAGCAGAGGCGTCCCAGAAACACGTGGAGAGAACATTCGATTAATGAATCTAAAGATCATGGGATGTTTCTAGGCGACGAGGGTGAAATACTTGCGGAAAATCGTCAGCCAATGGAAAGAATTGCGTCTGCCGATGTGGCGCTTCAACAGCACGGAGGAACTAGTCTAAGTAAAGATAAAGACCCTTTGAGCACCCCCACTACCTCTAAACCCTTTCTGATCCTACGCGAAATCACTGCCTCCAAGCAAACACGACCTTCGCTGCCCTGGTAAACACGATCCAGCAAATTTTCTGAACTCAAACATTTCGAGAAAACCTTCTAAACGATGCTTATAAATGCTCATAATGGGTAATTTGCAGCATTCAAACATGGTGAACCTAGTAATAGAACGGCCAGTGAACGACGAAGCGATCACCAACATGAAGGTGCATCCAGATTAGGGAAGATTCTCAATGTCAGTCAATTAATGCCTTTTTATCTTTTCAGAGTTTCCTGGAGGCTGCATGTCGCCCCTCAGCGCACAGTTCACCAGTCAACTCGGGCGCTCATAATCCTGTAAAACCTTTGAGTCCCGTCAATCTAGAAATGGGTTCAGCGAAAGGATCTAGGAAGGACAAAGTTGCCGATTACCATGAAAAACACATTAATTTGACCAACGCGGCAGTGCGTAAATCTCAAAGGCTTGTTCCCTGGCCCTGTGCGGAAGAATACGCATTTGATAATCGTCATGAGAACCAGCAAATTCACCGCCTAAGAAGACTAGCATCCACAAAGGTAGCGTTAACTTCCACTTCACTCCATTCATTGCTTTTTCTGAAGAAATTTCGAAATTTCTTGAACAGGAATAATAGGCTTCAGGTGAGTAAATCATAAAAAGCTATTTACGCCGCTCTCTTTGTGGTGCGCACTTAGTAGTTCTCTCTCTCAGATGGAGAGGTTGAATGTCTATTCCACAACTTGATAAGTCTTGATAATAGCATGATTTCTTTGTGGATCACATTTCGTAGGTCGCACACGACACTGTTTGACGTACGAAGGATGTCGTGCCGGGCGGACCAATGGTAAAGATTTCATTGGTGAAATCTACCCGACTCGGCAAAACGTGGAATTCCAATGAGTGCCCACAACACCTCTAACGGGAAGACGCCTGCGCTACCGAATGTTCTGTGTACTGAAGCCTAGTACCTGCTGCGGGCTGTGGATCTGGCCTGCTCCCTTGCGCCCAATGGGGACAGTGCGTGCCGGTTGCACTGTAGAGCAAAGGATGTCGATCTGCCAGGTGAACAAGAAATATATCCAAGAAGACTCGAAGGACCGACTAGGCGAAGTTTATAGGCGGCGTGTGCGCGGCGTATTCTCTGCGTGGAGGTTAACTGTTAGACTTACATGTTACACACTTCACGTCGCCTTAAACAAACATGTAGAAAAATAACTATGGAGCAAAGCAATACCGAATACATTCTGGAAAGTAGCAACACAAGAGATATCTGCATTGCGTAATGCCTAGAATAGATAGAGAAGAAAAATACTATTGTGAATTATTAAGCAACACTGTGAACTGTAAAATAAAGGCAAACTACTGACGAAGTAAACGTAACTAAAAAAAAAAAAAAAAACTTGAAAAAAAACTAAATAAGGCGATGAAATGACCGAATAATCCGGGAGGAGAATATGGCTACCAATTAGGACGATGATGCAATGTCGAATGGCGTGGCCAGGGTTAGCACGCGATTTGAAGGCGCAGGAGACCAAGGTTCCGCGCCGCTCGAGATCGGCGCAAATTTCGAATGGGTATTCGCACTGCGTCTTGCCAGCGTTGCCTTAAAGCATCTTGTCATAAGGGTCAAGCGTGCGTTGGAAAAAGTCCAAGGAGGGGGGGGGAGGAGGGAGAGGATATTTGCGGTTTCGTGGTAGGTATATACCCCCCACCCCTTCTCGACGGCAATTTTGGAGGAAAGAAGTGGGCGGAGTTTGGGCTGTGTCGATTGGTCTCAGAATCAGTATCGAATACAATAGAACGAGCCCCATGATGACGATGGCAGGCGAGGGTGGTGCCTGAGGGGGTGTCGTATCGAGGCCCTCTAGGAGGGGAAAAGGTCGTAAAATTTTCGAAATCGGTCCAACGTGACGGTTGACCCTGCTTTTCATGGCGGAGGTCACGACAAAGACACTCATACAGCTCATTGCGCAGCGCGACGATTTCCTGAAATCCTATGTTGTTCTACTCGATCAGGCTGTGTCATGTGAGTGATGCCCGAATCTTTCAAGCCCTCAAAACCCTTCGCATAATATCATTCTGCTGTCTTCGCCATGCGTCGTGCAGCGAAACTGAGTCTAATGAGTACAGAAGACGATAAATCTGAAGCATGTCCTCCACTGTCAACTTCGGGTCTTCCCTAAACTACTCAACAGAAGGAGCCTGTTGCGATGCGTAGAATTTTAGCACCTGCGCTATGAAGAAAATAGGCCTGGCTCCAAGCCTTTTTAGAAAACTACAACTTTCAAAACAGAGCAACGTGAACTCAAAATTAAGTTATGATTTGCTGCAAAAGAATCTCATGCAAAAACTGATGCCACTTCTTCACTTCTAATTAGTCCTTATAAACCAGACAAGGCTAAAAAACCATCACCTGCATGGTCGTCCCATGCTCGAGAGAGACAAGAAAACCTCCTTTCGTCCCTGTCGTGCGCAAGAGTAGCATAGTGAATCTTGTGCGCTGGAAACACGCAGCCATTCATTCTTTTCCTTCAGAACTTTCGTGAAGAAGTTGGACCATCAGGTTAGCGGTCGTCTGGATGTTCGTCTGACGTCCCGGGCGGTTCTCTCGGTAATCGTTTTGATCCGACGGTCATCGCGGAATCGCATGACGTGTCCGGCCCACTTGATCTCGACAACGGCACCATCCGTTGACGTGGTTTGCAACTCCGAAATTCGCACCGCCCTTGCGTATGTTCGGTGACTCGAAGCAAGGTCCTCTCCACAGCGTATTGGATAACGCTAACCACATGCTCATCCTGCTTGCACAGGTTTCAGGCCTCTGGAGCCGCAGGTTAAGAAGGAATGACTACAGAATCGAGTTGAAGAGGGAAACGGAGACCGATGTTCGTCGTCTTCTTCACTACCCCCTCTACGTTTTTATACGTTTCCTATGCCGCCCCTTTACTCCTGATCAGATCTGCAGCTAGATCGTTCGTCATGCTGCTTTCCGAGTTCGGAGATTTTGTTCCGTTTAGCGTGAATGAGGCATCAGGAACCAGGCCGTCTTTCATAAGTATCATCTTCGTTAGACTGCTGCAGCAGACCATACCACAGGTGCAGTCGAGATCATCCAGATTTCGCTCTACTCGCTCGATGTTCGGTTTTATGTGAACTGCATATGTCGCCTGCAAACCGAAGGTGGTGTAGCTGCCCGCTGACGACCATACATTCCATGTCTTCTCATTCCAGTTGACTCATGCATTCTCAGAAAGCGGAGCAGAAGTCTAAGAGAGATAGTGTCGCCTAGCAGAGCCCCTCTTTTCAAATTAATGATGAGCTTTTCATGGCGAAATTCCCTCCCGAGGGTAGCTGGAGAACTAATCAAAGACCTTTACGTACTTAGTAGGAACGCCTGATTGCCCAACGTTTCGCTGACCGCTTCTCTCCCTACAGACTCGAAGGCCTGCTCAAAAAGATGAACATAATACAAAGCAGAATCCTGCACTCTTGCAACACTTCATCGGGTCTCGTAACAGTTTGGATATGATTGATCGTGCACTCTCTTCTAAACTCTGCTTGCTATTATGGCCGTCCTTCATAGTGATCCGCCAGTCATGTGTGCTGAGGATGACTCGAGCGAAAAAAATTATAGATAGCAGCCAGCATGCAAATTATGCGATAATCGCCAAGGTCATCCATGGTCCCCTTTTTGTTAACCCATAACGGACGGCCAGTGTATTTTTCGCGTGCGCCACCATGTGGCGCACGCCGCCACTCAGGATAGGGTCCATGTAGGCTTATGCCGACAGCAGGGTTAAGACGGAGCTAAGGAAGGTGGCCGGGTCTCATTATCCAAAAGAAGAGATTTCCGTTGACGACAAGTTCGTAACCCGCCTTTCTGCTCAAAACTAGGGTGCAAAGAATGAATGGAAGCTGTAGGTGACATTATCGAAAAGTGCGAAATAACAACCCCCAGCAAGGATGTGGCTATATTTAGGGGAAAGGGTCTCGGGAAGTGCGAACCATGGGTAAGCCACCCATTAAATAGCAAACTTATGTAAATTAAGACAAAATGTATGTAAAATTTATTGTAGGTTTGTCAAAAATCCAGTCGTCCAGGTCCTGGGAAGATATGTTATTCCACATTTCTGAGAGTATACACGGGTATATTAAGATCGCTAGAAACATTCCAAAAAAAGGAAATAATCGTGCGCCACCATGTGGCGCATGCCGTCCGTTATGGGTTAAGCGACCCCGTTCTGCTGGATTTTTACAGAGTAGGTACCCTGCATACCGGCAGGTAGCGCATAGTCGAGCCGGAATTTTTTATAGCAGCTGGCAGAAAGTTCATCATGGGTTCCGTAAACTGTCGTATGCTGTACGGTTCTTCGTTTACCTAACTATCACATATGAGGGCATACTATGGACTCTCAGCTCAAAAAAGGGATTTGCCTAAGAACTGCAGCAGGAAGCAGAAGGTACCCCAAGAAAACAAAGTAACAATAAGTAATTGTGGATGTACTGCAGGCCAAGCATGAAGATGCCGATCCAGCAACTGATCGCGAAAAACGAGCAACGGATGCAATCGTTGTGAAGGGGAAGAAAGACAGTCGATTGATAGCGGTAATGTATCACTTTACTTCTGAACTATTAATCTACCGATAGAGAAAATATACCAAAAGTACCTCGAGATAAGCCTTGTAGAAAAACCACCCCTCCTATAGCGCCAACGTAAACTTTTACCATTTCCCAAGACCACTGTAACGTAATAGGTTGTCCGTTTCCCTCGTTTTCATCATGTTATAAACCATTCGAAAGAGAAGTGTCTGCTTTACAAAAATATTAACTTTACTCTACGTTTAGTGCGAACTTGAATTCCAAGCCTAGCGACTTGGGAGATTAAGAAGGCGAAAATTAGGCGAACCGTCACCTAGCTTTAACTCTGTTTCCTCTTTTTCGGGTCACTGAGTCGCTCGATGGCAAAGTTTCCAGTTCTCTTACTCAATGACAGCCGTTTCAACAATGGCGACAGAACTTTACAACCGAGTTTTCGCGGGTCAGCTACGAGCATCGCGAAAGTGTACTAATGCTAAGAAGTGTGACTAGAGCCTAAATTGTACCAACGGCGGACTAGGTATTCAGAAGGATGATGACCATAAATCACTGTTTGCCACAACTCACCACTAAAAGCTATTCAATTATGCGGAAATAACTTTGCACTTTGCAATAATAATAAGCAAAATGTTTTTGCATTGCTTAATCTTAATCTTAATGAAGCGGCCCTCTATACGAAAACTCTTCAAAACGATTATTTTTCGCAGAACATATCCACATCCTTACAGGTCGATTCCA